ACAAAACTACATCAGGCTCAAATCATGGAGTCAGGTGAATATTAGAACACTAGTTGATATTTAGCACCCACTCTGTGCTTAATTTACACTTGTCACCCAATTACTATAGGCATCTCACAGCAATCAATTAAAATCTATGTTTGAGATGAGGACACTGCGGCAGTTGTCCGAGATCATAACACCAGAACTGGTCCCAAGTCCTGTCTAACTTCAAACCCAAACTTAAAAAAAAAAAAAAAATTATTTGGGGCTAGGATTGTGGCTCAGCTGTAGAGTGCTAGCCTAGCGCAAGCGGGACCCAGATTCGATCCTCAGCACCACATAAAAATAAAAATAAAGACATTGTGTTGTGTCCATCTACACCTAAAAAATAAATTTTTTTAAAAATTTATTTATTTTTTTAGTTGTAGTTGGACACAATACCTTTATTTCACTTATTTATTTTTATGTGGTGCTGAGGATCCAAGCCAGGGTCTCGAACGTGCGAGGCGAGCGCTCTACTACTGAACCACAACCCCAGCCCCTCAAAGCCCAATTTTATTTTCAATTTTTGGTTTTGGTTTTGTTGGAGGATGAGAGGAACAGAGGTAAAAAAAAAAAAAAAAGATGGTACTTGATCAGGCATTTGGTATTATATGTTTAATTCTCTTAACCTAGACCTCATCATTCCTTCCTGTTATCACTTCAGTGCAGGTTTTATTCCTGAAAATGAACTTGTCAGCAAATCATATTCCTTTACATCTTTCTGGAACAATTCCAGATTCTTAAGATATTACAGATTAAGTATGTGCCTAAAGGCATTCCAGAAAGCAGACAGCCTAGAGAAGGCGTGGGGGATAAATTACATGAGTGAGTTCGTACAACACTGCTAATAAAACCTACTGAATGGGTAAAAGGCAAAGGGTATAATTTGCTGACAAGGTAGTTTAGTTCTGGCTACCAAGAATTAAAAACACAAAAAAGAAGAGGAGGAGGAGGACGAGGAGGAGGAGGAGGAAGAAGAAATTATTTCTTTAAACTGCAAAAGGGAAAGAAGCCTACTCAAAGCAGAAATGAAAAAGTTTCCAATGCTGAGAATTTATTTGTATAAACTCACAAAGAAAGAATCTCTTTTTGACTTTAAAGTATGTTTTCCTTGGACAATAAAATAAGATTACATTCTACATTGGTCAAACTTTAAATGTGATTAGAGTTTATAAAATACAAATCCTTGTAATCCCAGGAGGCTGAGGAAGGAGGATCAAAAAAAATTCCATGCCAGGCTGGCATTGTGGACAAAAAATAAATACAAAAAATAAAAATTATACAAGTCTTACAATGTAGCAAATCTTTTCCATTTCACACACACACACACACACACACACACACACGTATACACACACACACACACACACACATATATGTTTTTCATTTTTCCTTTCGTTACTTTTCTCTCTGATGAGTAAATTCCTCTATGAGAGGACCCTGTATGAAAAAGGAATAAAACTAGTCTCTGGATTCTTCTGAATTTGATTTCTTAGGTTGACAGATGCAGAAAACGTCTTTCAAAAAAAAAACCATATTAAGTCAAATGATTTAAGAACATAAAAGAAAATGTGACTTCTAGGATAAATTTTGGTGAACAAAAAGAGTGAAGTGCAGAAGTCATGATATACTTGCATATTTAAAAATTAGGCAAGCATTTTATTCAAGTGCAAGTTATTTCTAAAATATAGAATAGGGTTTCTTTGCGGGGAAATCTGCTTTCACAGAAAGCAGAGCACCGTTTATATTTTATCTATCCTTTCCTTCACACTCATTAACTGCCTCTTAAGTGAAGCAAAGTGGTGTGGGGGCTCAGAGGGTCGGCGAACTGATACTTGGAAAAAAATACCACTACAGGCTTTTCTGGGCGAGGTCAGGGCTAGAATGCAGGGTGCTGATGATGCCTGGTTTAATGCACATCAAGAGCTATTTGTCTCATTGCTTTAGAGGGAAAATACCCTAATGCTAAAGTATCCCTAGACGTAAGCAAGCAGAGTTTGGAGGCAGGAAAAGTGGTCGCCCTGGCCGGGCTCCGGGATGGCCCTCCTCCCTGCTCCTGGCCCCCGGGGCACCTGTCCCCCCTCCCCACCCCTGCTCCCCACTGCGGGCGGTCTCCGGATGGGGTAGCAGTGTGAAACGAGTGCTGTCCCTGACTGCGGGGCGCATCCCGGGAAGGCAGCGACGCCCTCCCCACCTGCGCAGGGGCGGCCGCAGCCACCCGCCCAGAGCCCGATGGGCGCGCCGCCAGGGCTGGGGAGGGGCCGCGCGGAAGGGTGGAGGGCGGAGGCCGGGCGCAGGGCAGGGCCCGGCAGTGCCTCGCGGGCCGCTGGGGCAGCTCAGGGGCCGCAAATCTCTCCCTAGAGCAGAGAGCATTTGCCCTGAGGGTCCGACACATCGCAGGCGCCACCGGATCGCTGGCCATGAGGACCCTGTGGATGGCGCTGTGCGCGCTGGCGCATCTGTGGCCCGGGGCCCTAGGTGGCTGCGCCGAGGCGGGGCGCTGTTGCCCTGGTCGGGACCCCGCCTGCTTCGCCCGCGGCTGGAGGCTGGACAGGGTCTATGGGACCTGCTTCTGCGACCAAGCTTGCCGCCTCACGGGGGACTGCTGCTTCGACTACGCCAGGGCGTGCCCAGGTGGGTGGCTGGGCTCAGGGTGGGGGCGCCACCCCTTTGCCCGCAGCCAACCCGCATTGGGCCGGGCGCGGCGCCAAGGACCGCAACCCAGGAGCTGGTGTTCCCCAGCCTCTTCCATTCTGGCCTCTTCCATCTGTCCAAGTCCCCTCCATTCATACCCAGCTCAATACTCTCCACCTAGACAGCTCAAAGCACTCCTCCCCACCAGAGCCTGGATGAAAGGAGTTGGAGCCCTCTGCTCTTCTCCTTGAAGGTTGCAGGGGGCCACCTCTGCTCTGGAATTGTGAGACTCAGGATCTCCATCTGGGTAGGGCCACATGGTGCCTGGAAAGATGGCGTTGACAGGCTCCAGCATCATGCCCTGGAGCAAGGCCAGACTCCACCTGTTATTCTTTTAACCCTCAGGAATTTTTTGAGCTGGTGAGTGGTAATAAGGGCAGGAAGGTGTGATTGCCCCACTTTGTGTCAAACTTACTCAGGGAGAGTGTTTTGCTCTGGAGAACAAGTTCTTGGAGGACTGAGGTTGTGCTCACCTCTGGACCCTACCACATGGCACGGCTCTTTCCTCTTAGGAAATGTTCATTTTTCCTTTGGGTCAGCCCTTTTCATCTAAATTTCGACAGGATCTCACAGTTTCTTGCCTCTGCAGGATTCAATAAATGCTGGTTCAATTGAATTAAAAGGTAAAGGAAGAAATGGTAAAGTATAGTGTTGCAGAACATGGTGTGCCTGAGAAAATCCAGCTCTGGAAGTAAAAGTAGTCCTGCTCCCTGCTAATCACATCACCCCAAAAGCCACACATAGGTTGGGGTTTGCATTCAAGAATCCCAGTGTGTGGAATCCTCCGTGTCTTCTAGGGAGAAGAACCCACAGGGCTGTGCCATCTTCCAAGAATTGGATGCCCAGTAGGAATGAGCACCCCTCCTCCCTCTTTGCTGCATGAGAAGGCTGCCAGTCCCTGGCGGTGCCTGTCACCTCAGCCTGGTACTGCAAGAATACAATTGAAAAACATTAAGATTTGTTGACACTGGTTGAGAGCTAATGATGTACCCATGATAGTTATAGTTAATCTGTCCCCATGAATAAGTAATCTTTTTGATAAGCTTCTTTGCCTTTCTTGCTCCAAGGCCAGGGTATTTAAAGGCGGGGAAGTCAGCTATTTAGGAAATGCAGTGCCCTCCGTGGGCCTGTCTCTGGCCCATCCTTGGAGCATCCTAAACTCCTGTTTGCCTCTCTTACCTGGATAACTCCAGCAAAGCCTCTCTCAAGACAGGATCGCAGTCTCATGAAGGGCCTGCTACATTTCAAAGGTAATTACAGAATTTATGTAGCCAAGATGATGTGTCCAGGTCTGTGATAAGCACAGGGACGCAAAGATGCAATCTCTGCTCCCTAGGAGTTCACAGTCTAGCCAGGAACACCTGTAACACTGCATGCAACATGCTCCGGTACAGTAGTCCCCCCTTATCTGCAGAGGGATACATTCCAAGACTTCCAGTGGATGCCTAAAACTATAGATAGTAATGATGGCTACATATACTGTTTTTTTCTTATATGCCCTATAGCACTGTCACATAGTAGGAGGGTTAATCTGTCCTTCCACTGTTTTAAGCCCCAGGGCCTCCTTTGGTCTTCCTGAGTTACTCAGGGCCTCACTAAGTTTCTGAGGCTGGTTTTGGGCTTTGAACTTGCAATCCTCCTGCCTCAGCCTCTCAAGCTGCTGTGATTACAGGCATGTGCCACCACGCCCAACTATACGGCTTTGATATACTAGACAAAGGCATGATTCACATCCCTGGAAGGACAGTGTGAGATTAAACCATGCTATTTACAGTGGCTTGCGATTTCAAATTTATGAATTGCTTATTTCTGGAATTTTCCATTTGATAGTTTCAGATAGCAGTTGACCATGGGTGATTGAAACAACAGGAAGTGAAACTGGAAATAAGGAGGGGGGGGAAACCACTGCCAAAATGGGTGATCTGGGAGGTGATCTATGAGGAAAAACTTAGAAGACCTGAAGAATGCAAAGAAGACTTCCCAGAGGAAGTCATGGATGACCTAGTCAGGATAATAAATAAGAGGTCTCCAGGGAAAGGGTGGGGGTGCTGCTCTGGGAGGGAAGCTTAACATTTTTGTCTAGCAGGTAACGGTGCAGGGCAATCTGTGCCAGGTCCTGTCCTAGACCCTGAAACTAAAAGAGTGAACAGGACAGAGGGTGGATGCAGCCAGATCTGGAGAATTTCAGCACCTGAGAGGGATGGGTTAAAATGAGGCAAGTGTGGAGAGAGGGACTTGCTTTCTAAGGAGACCTAACAGTGCTAACAGGATTCGCAGAATCCTCAAGTCTTCATCACACACATGCGCGCGCACGCGCTCGTGTGTGCACACGCACGCACACACAAATGCAATCACACCCCTACCTTATTTTCAGTCTAGGAGGTAGAAATAGTAGGACCAAGTGTGAGTTATTTTGGAGTAGGGATTTATAGGATAAATACAGAAGAGATAAGGAAGCTTGCCATCTCCTGAAGAACTGAAAACAAATCACTGTAAGCACCTGCCTGGGAGAAGGGCTGTGAGTGGTAGATGAAAGAACCAAAGCCAGAAAAGGAAATGGTATCTTTAAAGGAGCAGGGATCCCTACCTGTGCTTTCCCAGGGTGTCAACAGAGGACCTTGCAGACCTAGATAAGAGAGAAGCAGACTCAGCCCTGAAAAGGCTCCTGCTGTAAACTCTCTGCAGTTGAACTTCCTTGTAAAGGGGAGAAGAAAATAAAGATGGTCAGAAGCTGGCCGCTTGCTGAGAATAGGGCCCAGACTCCTCTGCCCTGAATCAGCACAACTGGACTCTCAGCTGGGTCACCACAGGCCTGCCTTCCAGGCCCAGAGCTGACTGACAGTTGGGAGCCCACTCAGAGGCAAGATGTAGAATGAAGGCTTCCATTCTTACAGAGAATTCCCTCTGAATATTTACTGTATACTTGTGATTATTTTTTCCTCCCAGAAATAATCCAAATGCAGTATTTTTCCCCACTAAAGTCAGAGAATATTGGGTTCAATCTTTTACCCTGCCACCTACTGTCTCTGTGTGACTTTGGAGAATGTATGTCTGTCTGCCTCATGGGGCAAAAAGTGTTTCTCTCTTTTTTTTTTTGTACTGGAGATTGAACCCAGGGGTGCTTAACCATATCCCCATCCATATGTATGTATGTATATATATATATATAGTTTTTTTTTTTTTAGAGACAGGGTCTTGCTGAGTTACTTAGGGCCTCGTTAATTTGCTGAAGCTGGCTTTGAACTCACAATCCTCCTGCCTCAACCTCTAGAGCCACTGGGATTATAGGCGTGTACCACTGTACCCAGCTAAAGTACCTCATTTATAAAAGGGGAACGATAAGACCACCATGTGGGACTATCAAGTGGACAGAAAGAGATAATATCAAAAGTGCCAGGGACCTGGCATATGGTAGGCACTTGGGTAACAAATGTATCATTGGTCAGCTCTTATCATCAGTGGACATGGATTAACATTTTATTTCATTAAATATGTATTCAATAAATTTATAACAATATAGTGCAGTCATTTGTATTAGTTTAAATAATAAGTATCTTTTATTGAACTCCCACCATGTGCTAGGTACTGACATACTTATTCAATCTTCCCAAAATTTCTGTAAGAAAGATAAGTCTGGTCCACAATCCCAAAATCCAAAAAAATTGATAATCAAAGTCTAAACAGTGCTAAAACTTGAAAGTTTTTTTCATCATCATTTGGTACCAAAACTCTCGCCTTCCCTGAACTGATGAGGGGAAGACTATTGATAATCTTTTTTCTATCCCATTATAGTATAAATATATTTTGCCTCAAAAATATTAACATATTCTGCAAGGATCTACCCTAGCTCTGCTGGGGAGAGGGGATATGCAGATTCTACATTTAAGAAATCCTGAATTCTGAAACTCATCTGCTTCTAGGATTTGGGAAAAGAAATGGGCCTGTATTAGCATTTTTAAAAAGCAGTAGCTGAGACTTTCCAAGGGTTCCCATTACTCAAGTTCAAATGAATGAGCAGTAGAACTAGGAACTTGAACTCACGACTATTTGATTTAAAGTTGCCACTGGCCACATCTGTTGGTGAAAATTCATGATTATTATATATTACTAGATAAAGCAAAGGTTACCTAGGAGTCCCCATTCACTCTCCATACCCAGAAACTTTCAGTGTCTTAGAATCTGTCTTCCTTCTTACCCAAGGTTATATAACTCATTGCTGATGCCCAAAAAGCCTTTTTGTTTTTTAACCTGAATTTATTAAAGCCTTTAAACCTAACAACAATTGATTGTTCTAGGTAGGAACTAGTTGAAAACAATGTCAGTGTCATAAAAACAGTTATGTAGATTTTCAGTATACTTTTTAAAAGTTTTTAAAATTTATTTATTTAAGTATATATGACAACAGAACTCATTTTGATTCATTGTACACAATTGCAGCACAACTTTTCATTTTTCTGTTATACAGGATGTAGCATCGCACCATATATGCAGTCATAAATGTACCTAGGGTAATGATGTCCATCTCATTCCACCATCTTTCCTGCCCCCACACATCCTCCGCACCCCTCCCTCCCTTTTGCCCAAAGTTCCTCCATTTTTTCTATGCCCCACCCCACCCTCCGCCATTATGGATCAACATCCACTTATCAGAGAGAACATTCGGCCTTTGGTTTTTTGGGATTGGTTTACTTCACTTAGCATGATATTCTCCAACCCCATCCATTTACCTACAAATGCCATGATTTTATTCTCTTATTGCTGAGTAATATTCCACTGTGTATATATGCCACAGTTTCTTTATCCATTCATCTACCGAAAGGCATTTAGGTTGCTTGCACAATTTAGCTATTGTGAATTGAGCTGCTATGAACATTAATGTGGCTGCATTACTATAGTATGCTGATTTTAAGTCCTTTGGGTATAGATCAAGGAGTGGGATA